ATCTTTAAATTCTATTAACTTGCTAGTCAATAAACAAAGTTATTTAATTTAATATTCAGATCAATAGAATATATCATAGCAAACGATGTATTTTACAGCTTATCAGGCCAGTTTCTACCAGAGGGTTTTGGTTGGAGGCGAATATTGTGCGTGCCATCAAGGAGCGCGAGAGAGCGACTCGGTCGATAATAAAGAATAATATAATATGAATATTATGAATGGCGATTTGTCATCTCTCGTGCCAGTCGGCCTTATCAAAAGCGCTATAATTTTTATTTTCCCAAGCCGCTCGGCTCGACACTCTCTGCTTTTTATTTCCCCCTTGTGAATTCGGGAGCGCTACTTTTTTCGAATTCGTCATCATCATCACCGTCGCCACGCTCAAGGACGTTTTGTTATTCAAATCACCTTTATTGGGTGTGAAAAGCACCCAACTTGCTCTCGATGCGACTGAAAAAAGCAATTTTTTTTATTCATATTATTACTATGAAAGATTAAGGCGAAAAGCGAGACGTGATTTGAATGTAATTTTGTCTGTCTGCGCGTTATTGATATGGGAATTTTTTCGAAACAAATTTGATTTTCTTTGTCTGGTGCTTTTTGTGCGTTGTTGTTTTGGTGGCGGGCGGCGAGTGCGCGATCCACTTGATTGATCTCAAGGTGCTTCTTAATTTGAGCTGGCGCGCGCGAGCAGCAGGTGACTCGCAGCACGCGTCTCGTTCAAGCGTTACTTTTATTGCTCTTGAGTATCATTACACTCGCTCTTGTATAAAGTGTGCACCGGCAGCAACACCGCATACATATTGTATGTATGTATACCCTGCTTTCTATGTACCAGAGGGCTATATGCGGCTGCTGCTTTTAATTATCGCGGCACACGCTAATGTACAAATCCATTATTGCCTCCGTCAGCACCATAATATACCGACCGGATAGATAAATAAGTAAATAAAGGTGCAGGAATTCTTGGAATCGCTTTAATTGGGCGCCGCCGTTCTGATGAACAAAATTAATCGAGAGTTTCCAGTGAAAAAGCCTCGGTGTTTAAATAGAGAAGACCGAAGAGATCGATTATTCATAAACTAGTGTCGTTTTTAAAATAAATTTCTTTTTGTTTATTTTTTGGTAAAATGTACACCATGACGTCATTCTAGATATGTATCAATGTTGGAAGGTTAATTTTTGTTGGAACAAAATCGCAGAGAAGGTTTGATTACTTTGCAGCGCAGTGCAGGAACTTTCTTGGACACTAGAGGATGAAGCCTAACTTGGATTCTTTTCGCTCCTGGAGCAACAGACCGAAGTCTGCGAATTTTCTTATCGCTAATCGTGTCGAGTGTTTATACAATTCGCTGATAAAGAGAACCGGTTCGTGAGAATTGGATACTTCCAGCTTGGTATATTTGTACGCTCTCTACAGAGCACTTTGATGCACTAAACTATGTATTGCAACAAACTTTTGCAACGCTTTACTGATAGCAGTTAAAGCTCTATAAACCTCTCATTTAATTTTATGGTGTGAAAAAAGACCTCTTTTTACATTTCAGGAAAGAAAAGGAAATGAACATGTTTGTTTTTCTATCAAAGTATGTGCCCTTGCAGAAATAGATAAGATTTGCAAACCTCTCAAATTAATCAGTTTGCATACTTCATACTAGCTCTTGTAAAGCCATAGAGAGAGTTAAACAAAATTTTAGTTTCAAGTAATATTAATTGATTCATCTCCGAGCTATGTAATTTAGTTACAATTGTGTTTATTAATGTACCACCGGGCATAATTAAAAAAAAATAATATTACAACAAGAGAGAGAGAGAGAGAGAGAGAGAGAGAGAGAGAGAGAGAGAGAGAAAGTTTTATAATTTTTAATAGAAACTCAAAGTATGTTTGATAAATAACGAATTAATTTAAACTACTTTAATGACGACATTTTTCCTGCTTTACTTAATGAGCGAAAAGCTTTCAAAATAAAAGGGCGGCAGAAATTTGTACTCTCTTTGATACGTCACTGATAATTATCAAGGAGACATTCTTCTTATCACGTCTGTAAATTGATACCCACGATGATTTGCAATTTGATTGAGGCGAAGGCAAAAGCAACATTTTGGCGTACAATTTTAATCTCTACGTGCAGAAGTTAACTTTAAAGCATGCAAGTTACGATAAGTCTCAAGACAATAATCAAAGTGATGAGTAAGATGTCTGGAAATTAGTTTAATTATGCTTTCGTTTGGTGACATATGGTCTTATTCCAAACATACAAGTTAGATAATCTCTGTAACAATCCTACGCTTACCTGAATGATTTAATAGCACAACTTTTGCACGTGAAATTTTTTGAAAGATTTTTATAATTGTTGCCGACCACGCTAATGGAAAAGTGGAAGAGAGGTGACGCGGATGAGCAAGTTTTATGACAAAACCGCAGAACCATATGCACATGACGTTTCGCTCGAGTAGGTAATTATACCTGTGACTTCATCACCACACACGGCGAGCTGCACCTTTTGTTTTACCAAATTGCCGCTGAGAACAGGGGCGGAACTGATTTAAATTCTTCAGTTATTCGCAGAATAAAGAAAGAAACACGAAGAGTTAGAAACACGCGGTAAATTTAAACGGAATAAAAATTACTTAATTACATTTTAAAATTGATTCACTTCTATTTTTATTAAAATTTTTAACGAAAACAAAATTGATAAGATTTTTTGCTGCAACTGAAACAATATGTCACATATTCATTGATAATTTTTGTGATAAAAAAGATTTCTTCAAAGTTAATTTCTTATCTAGTGACGCCACTGCTTGTGCCCATGACACAGACCGCTACACCTAGCTGAGCTAAATCAAGAGCAGGATAAACTTGAACCAAAACACGCATTATTTCGCCTCTTTTCTTTAATTCTATTATCTTTGTCGAATTATTATTATAGAATGAACAAAAAAGTGCCGACATATACTCATTCTTTTTTTTTCGTTTGTTCCTTTTGCCACCCACGAGATGAGTAAACACAAATTACACACGCATTACAAAAAGAGTGACGAGACAGAAAAAAATACACATAGTATAATGGTGTCATTATTTGGTGCACCGAATTGGTCGCCAGTTTCTTTGTTCTTTCGTTTGACCAAATTAGGTAATGAGCCGCGCAATGCACGCTTTTCGACCTTAGCCGCCGCCGACGGTGCCTGCACACATTTAAGTCCTAAAACCGACCTTTGTCCGCGCTGTGGTGGGAAAAGTTCATTTTTGGTGAACTCTTTCCTTCATCACAGAACTTAATTGCGTCACCAATGCATTATTGAATGTGCTGAGAGAACAATTGAACTATTTCTTTCATTGTTCTGAAAATTATTGTAAATAATGCTTAAAGATCTTAAAAAATTGAAGTAAATAAATATTATTTTCTTCTTCTCATTGTTTATTTTTATTATGAAGATCACTTGAGGACAAATTTTATGTATAATTTCTGATTTTTAAATAAATTTTTAAATTCTATAATCAAAAGTCAAATAAAATTTTGATTTCATTCTAAATAAAGTTTTCATAATTTCCCAATTGTTTTATGTGAAAAAGAAATCCCTGGGAAAATTTTTAATCAATGTAGTTATCATGTTTGAAATTTTATTCTTTTTTTGTCAGTGACATTTATAAAAATTTTCAGTTCGTTAAGTTTCTCTTTATTTATTTTTTCATTTGATGCATTTTTAAACGACCCATCTTGGTTCACCAGAGGATGTTCTCGCGTGCCAACTGAGCAGCTGGATCGCTGCATTTCTTTTATTTTTATTACGTATGCATGTGCACTCAAGAGCACATGTTGGCGACACTTATGGCGAGCAAATGGCAAAATTATTGTTCTTTACGACTTCTGGCTAAACGCCGTTTGTGCTCTCACAGAAACGGAGGCGAATTTTTCACTTCGAACAGATGCAGGTCACCAGACTGATAATTTTTTCCCATATTTGGCAGACAAACTAGTAATTTTCAATATCTAAGCCATTCACAGGAGAAAACAATCAATTGACAACAAGTTATTTTTGTGCATTGACAGCTGCATTTTTAAATAAATTCATGCTATGTCACGAAAGCAATTTTTAATTGTTTCAAATTATCAACCGAGACCATAAACATTATTTATAATACAATGTTGAATAATATTTGTCTGCAAGCTGCATTTGTATTTTTTGTACGGTAATTGGTCTGTCGCAAAACGCACAAGTAATTGCATTTTGTGCAGCAGCAACTTCAATTTTTCTTCGGCTTCCTGGCATCTGCCCGCGTCGGTGATGGAAAAAATTTAATTTCAGAAAAGAGCAAACTGCTGTAATAAACACGAAGAAAAAAGGGCTGTGTGTGTGTCAGAGTGCATTTGCCGCTGTGTGTTTCACAAAGGCGTGTGTCTGATAAAAGTGTCGAGATTCTGGTGAAAAATGTGCACGACTTGGAGCACGTCCAGCGACCCTTTTTGCACACAGACGATCTCTTATAGCGAGAATGCTTTTGTTGTGTTGCTCCTTTGAGGAGCGCATCAAGATTTATTCTCAAGACTTCCTTCCTCAAATCATGCAAATTCATGCAAATACGCCAAAAATAAGGATGGAAAGGTATATGGGGGAAATTTTTTTAATGAACTTTTAAATGCAATTTTTCATTAAATGTTTATTCTTTTTTTTATCAATAAATAATGAGGCATTAAAGCTTTTAAGATGTTGTTTTGCAAGACCAAAATTTTTTTATAATTTTTCTGTATAGAAAAATTAAATTTCATTAGGTCGTTTCGTAAAGGTAGCAAAAATATGAACTGAATGTCAAAATTGTGCAAAAAATTAGTTCACATTTTATGTTTTCATGACCAATGGTTTTAGAAAACTTTTGGCACGCCCTCATTAAAATTGCCAAATTAATTATTCCAACGCTTAATATTCCTGTGTAAAAAAATAAGCCACGGCGTTTAAAGAGAGAAGACCAGAGAGGAGATCGATCATTTACACTTGTACCGTTTTTTTAAATTTTCTGTTTGTTTATTATGGTAAATTGTACACACATGACGTCAGTCTAGATTTTTTTCATTTTTAAAGTTATTTTTTGTTGGTTTTAGCTCCAATCGAAATCACAGAAGAGGTTTTAATTGCAGTGCAGGAACTTGTTTATGGTCACTGGAGGATGCAGCAGGACTTAGACGCTTCCTTGTCTTTGGAAGGTGATGAATTTGATGTTTCTAAATTGTCTTTGCTAGAGAGCACACCGATTTTGAACTGGGCCAACATATTTCGAGCATCGCTTGAGTGTCCAACATTGTTGAAATCCTTTGTGGCGTCCTTTCCGGCCACTCCAAGCAATTGATCCGCACCACCTGGGTGTTCCTTAGATATTTTAAATTTGAAATTATAATGCATATAATGTTGATTGTAAATATTTGTTATATCTTAAATGAATTTTGATTATTTATTTTTATAAATAAAAATGGTTATTTTTTTGTTTGGTGTTAAAATTAGCCACAAATTTAAATTTTAAAAGTAAAAAATACGATCAGAAGATAAAAACATTTTTACACAAAACTTTGAGAAACTAGGGAGAATAATTATTTTAAGTGTTAAGTAAAATATTTTTAGATGTGAATCTACTAAATTTACCTTCAAAAACTTGGTCACGTCATAAACCTCTCCTCTGATAACGATCCAGGTTGACTCTTCGCTGTTGTGCTTTCGCACTTCTGCCATTTCAATTTCTCTTATTTCCGCCATTTCTGTAAACGAAATTATTGATATGCAGCTCTTTTTGCTCAACCAGCGGTTGTTGATTGATGAGCTGTGCGCGATAGAGTGGCTGTTTCATTGTTGATAAATGCGATTTTGTGACGAATTTTCTTATCGCTAATCGCGTCAAGTGTTTATACGATTCGCTGATAAAGAGAACCGGTTCGTGAGAATTGTATTTTTGGTGAACGCTTCTCTCCATTACGAAAGGTAATTTCGTCACCAGTGCATTACCAAATGTGCAGTGAGAACAACTGAACTTTAAATTCAAAATGAGGTTTTGTAAAAGTACCTGTCTAAAAAATTAAATTTAAATATTATGCAAAAATTTTACTTTACCCTTTTAAATTTCTTGTTAAATGGTTTAGAAAACTTTGCATTAAAATTACCAAATTACTTATTCCAACGCGATGCAGACAACAAAGAGTGATTTTGTGATTTATAATCAGGGTATTTTTTTTCTTTTCCGATTTTTTAAACAAGCTCGGCGTGGGCAGGCGAAGCGTGAAATTACATAGCTTCGGGTCTCGTCTCCTTTATATGCAAATCATTTTCAGTTTTTGCTCAATCGACACAAGGCGCAGGTAAACGCCTCATTTATGTCGCGCGAGATTCTGCTGAAACTTAAGACAATGAATCAAGTTCTGCGAGACGCGGCCGATCATTAAATGCAAATCAGCCACCCGAGTGTGGAGAGACGTTCACAATCAACTCTTTTTTTTCTCTGCAAGCCGGAACAGTCCATCGCCGCAGGTGTCAGGTTTCGCCCCCTGGCGCCCCGAAGGTGGACCCTCCCTCACCATACGATTAAGAAAATTTGACCGGGGGTGATGAATATTCATGGAATGGGCAAAGTACCTGGCGAATTCGCGTCCGCGGCGATCGCATGTTACCACCCTCCGACCATTATCTTTGCATGTCCGGCGAAAAATAACACACCAGAGAAAGAGCGAGAATGAGTGTTTTGCAGAGAGAGGCGACTAGGGTGAATCTGAACCAATACTTAAATTCACCCCTAAAAACTAAAACATTAAATTGAAGAGAAAAAAATAATTACAGCTCCGATGACAAAAAAATTTAATGTGTAATTTTCATATTTTTAATAGATAGTCCCAGTCATAAACAGCCAAACCCAGGTGCAAACAATTACGTTCAATTTTTTCATTTAATTTTTTTAATGTCTTTCATTAATAAAGAAAAATATTAACACAATTGAAGGGCTTCTTTTCTTGTAATTAAAACTTAAAAAAAATATGAAAATAATTATTGATCAATTCTTTTTTTTTATTCTTTACAAAATCCATTTTACTAATTTAAATTTTGATAGAGTTAATTTTTTTTTTTGGTGGAACCAAAATTTATAATCAGCCTTTTTACTTCTGTTTCACTTGGCGCTTCTCTGACTTGGAGCCAGTTTTTCCGCGCCACAGTGAGAAGGCCCCATACATAACAGTGTGCATTTATATTTTGTCGAGGGCATCATCAATGAACTGACGCGGTCTAATTTAAGGGCGACCACGATAGCGATCCGAGCGAGGCGCCCCGCACACCCGGCTTATGGAGAATCTGTTTCAGCGAGGTCAGGGTTATTTTTAATTCGCGCCTCCCAATGTCTCGATCTAAAATTACCCCACAATGCGTCACTGACCCCCATTAAAGCGACACCCAGAGACCAATTAATTATATAAACGAGGGCCGGACGTTCATACCATGAGGCAGAAATTATCTGTTTTTTTTTCGTTCAGTTTCGGCTCTGACAAGACTCGTAAATCGAGTGTTGTCAAAATATAATAAATCTTATCTACTTTTATTAATGATTCTGTAATTTTATGTTGAGGAATTTCACTCGTAATTTGCATGAAATCAATGAAATGACTAATTTTACTACTCCTTCAAGTGTAAAGTAAAAAACTTTTGAATGCCTCTAACCGCTTGATAAACTTTTAACTTTATGTACAAGTACACCGTACATTCTGTAATAAATTCAATCTTGTTAAGGCAATTTATTACAAGTGATTTATTTGCCTGAATACTATCGGCACGCTTGTAAACAGCAATTTGAATATTATTTGCCCCCTTCTCTCAGTGCACGTTTTAATATTTTTGTTCTACCGAGACTTTGACATCGCGGGACCTCCTTGCTTTTTATTACATTATTATTATTACGTCTGCTGAATTATATCATTTGAATACACACAGTGAGTGGCTTTTTTGTAATACTTTTCTCGTTTTTATCGTTTTTCGGATCGACCCGCCTTTGTCAGTGCTGCTTTTGCATTCGGGAAAGGGAAAAAAATCACATGTATAAAATATTATTTGATCACTGCCGGCAGCCAAAATGTCGTCACGCCACACAACAATAATCTGTTTCCAGTCAGTAATGTCTATTGATTTGCCATAATGGATCACCGGCGCGCGCGGCGCCCAGCATGGGATTTAATGCCGCCGGCTCCAAGGCCGCCGCTTTTCATCACGCGGCCGCTCATTTTTGAATGCATGATTATGTCATATTTTAGCTTTTTATCGGTGCCGCGCGCCTGAGATGATTTTATATAATATGAATTTTTCATAATTCACTTCTGCTTTTTAAAACGCTCCGCGCTGCAATTTGCATTTCGGCGGTTTACGAGAAAAGAACGTTTATATATAGGGAATGGATTTGAATTTCAATCCTAATTGACCGGCGGTTTTACAAGTTCGTCACATTTTCTGACGCTAAAGATTGACTATCATAGAAAATTGAGTGCACGTGGCTCAAATTTTTTGATTTGCTTCCAAGTCACGGTTTTCATATAATTTGAAAATAAAAGGATTTTGATTGATTTATCATATTAGGGGAGGTTTATTCATAAGGGTTGTGGCGGCACCGCCATCGTGAGTTTGAAATTCGTGATCTGCCGTCTTTTATGTGAAATTCGTCGAGTGTACCAGTCACGGGGTCAAATACCACCGCAAAGCAAGTTATTTTTTGTTAACAAAGACAGAGCAAGTTGGTCTCGTACTAAACATAAAATTAAAAGCGGAATGCATGATTACAATTCATTACAGAAAACATCTCATTGTCAAATGGGAACCAAAATGTTTTTAAATCAAGCGGCTTCCTTCAATTTATGAGGGTATGCAATTTGACGTACGTCGGTGCTGTGCAGGTTGCATCAATTCTCTGAAATCTTCTTCGGACCAAAGGAGCTTGCCAGAATCTCCGTTAGGGGAGAATGGGAGAAAATAATGCAAAGATTTTTACGAGTAAAAAACATCCTTCCTTTAGAAATTGAAAGTAGATTAAAACGATAATCAGAATTAAACAATTGTATTTTTTTAAATCCTTTCAAAAAACATGTACATAATATTCTTCTAATTCTATCTGAACTTTTAGCTTATAATTATCTCCAGCTTAGATACTTTTGTGAGATTTGAAGCACTTTTTTGGATTTAAAACAATTATGCTTAATTGTTATAAATAAAATATAAAGATCTTGATATCAAATACTTTCCCCTTGCAATTAATATCAATTTTTGGGATACTAAAAAATTCCAACCAAAAATATCTTTGAACTAAATCAATGTAAACTATGGTGCGTTGTGAATTAATTAAAATGTTTTCTCATTCGTTTCGAATCATAGAAAGCTGGAGAGAAACCAGAGTAGAAACAATCTTTGAAGTCATCCAAGCAAAACACTCATGCCAGGGCTGGTAAAAAATTACGGCAATAAATAAAACAAAACAATCGAAGAGCCGAGATACAAGGAAAGAGGAGCTCGGGCGCACGCACACGATTAAAAGGCTTGTGCGTGAATTCGGGGGCCGCATCTGCCTAAATATTTGTGTAGCTCGGCAAGGTAAAAAGGCAGCAGCAGCAGCAGTCTCGGCAGACACCGCAGAGATGGATCTGGAGAGGCAAGAAAAAACGAGGGGTCTGTTTGATAAGGTTGTTTGCATTGGAGGCAGTGAGGCGGGAGATAGGTAGCAGGTGCAGGTGCCGATGGCGTGTCTATTGTTTAGAGGCCGACACAGATGAAAGCCTCTGCAGAAGCCACGCGACACGACGCCCCCGGGCCTCCGAGCCGCCTCCGGGGGCCCCTCCGAGACCACTCCTCGCCTCGCCGCTGACCGTCGCCGCATATTTTGTGCTGAATTTTAAGCAGCCCAAATTTCTGTTGGAATAAATTACTCTGGATTGCCCCCGTGTTTCATGTTGTGCGATCAAGGATAAAAATGCTGGGCTGCTCCTCATTTCACGTACGTGCTGGCGCCGTGCGTCATAAAATCTCTTCACATTTATTGTCCAAAGAGGTACATTGTAGGGTCGTGCAAGAAGAGTTTTTTGTAATTTCATTTGCATAAAGAAGTGCTAAGCTTTAAAATAAGCATTTGTTTTTATCAAAATCTGTAGAAAAGGTGAGAAAAATAATATATAGAGGAGTTCTTAAAATGCAACAATAGTGTCATTGTCTCAACAACGAATTTCTTTGTTATAACTTCCTTGATAAAAAATTCATAAAACTATCCTAAATGAATTAAGAAAATTCTTAAAATGAGAACTCAGCAGATTTTATCTCACATGCAACAAAGGCACATTGTTGCAACAATGAATTTTATTCTTTTAAAATCCGTTATAGACTCCTCATCAGCGTAGTCGAATCAAGTCTTTACAACAATAAAAAGCCAATTTTTGAAATTATTTTAAAAAATTAGCCACTCCTGTTCAAAAGAATTTATTCTTAATGTTTTGTAGATTGATTTAAAAAAAAAAATTATATTACAACTTTGCAACTTTAATTTTTCAGGTTGTGTGTCAAACGTCAAACATTTAATAAGTGTTCCAGTCGTTTTAAAAATAAATATTTAAAATAAATTATCAAATTTTTGATGATTTTGATAAGTAGTTGTTTGAGACAAAATGTGTGATTCATCTTTATTGTTGTCGAATAATTCAAAAGTTAAAATACACAAAAATATATTATTATTTACCATAAATAATATGTGTAAAGAATAGAATAGCAAATGACTTTAATTAAAAAAAAAGTAAGAAATATAAACTTTACAAGTTTTTATTTTTCATTTTTAATTAAAAAAA